GCATTCCTAGATGAACAGTTTCCTGAAAAGTGGATTGGTCGTCGTGGGCCAGTTGAATGGCCCCTAAGGTCTCCCAATCTGACTCTCTTAGACTTTTATCTTTGGGGTCATCTCAAGGCAATCGTCCATGGTGTGAAGATACAAGATGTGCAGCACCTGAAACTACGGATACTGTAAGCCTGTGCTGGCATTTCTCCTGTGGTGTTGCTATCAGTGTGTGAAGAGTGGGAGTAGAGGGTTGCATTGACAATCCAACACAATGGGCAGCACACTGAACACATTTTATAAGTGGTCAGAAACTTGTAAATAACTCATGAAAGAATAAAGTTACGTTAAAACCATTGTTTTTCTTGTGAAATTCCCAATAAGTTTGATGTGTCAAATGACCCAATTCATATTGAAAAAACAAAATGGATCCAAGATGGCCAACTTCAAAATGGCCACAATGGTCACCACCCATCTTGAAAAGTTTGGCCCCTCACATATACTAACGTGCCATAAACAGGATGTTAATATCACCAACTATTCCCATTTTATTAAGGTGTATCCATATAAATGGCCCACCCTGTATATTATGACCAGTGATGCAATTATATGGAACAAAATCAATGCCTAAAGTCTTGAATTAAAAAGCTTGTTGAATATCACAAACTGAAAAAAATAATACACCGTATTAACAAGTTCTTGCATTTTAATGACTTGAATTCCAGGGTTTGTATTTTTAGGTCCTGAAATTTAACATATCTGTATATTTAAGCTTTGAATATTTCAACGAAAAATATTTCAAACACGTTTTCATACTTAAAAATTCAATAATTCATATTCAATTTTCAGATTTCACTTACAAAATATTCAATACCCTTTAAAAATACGATGTATAATATTCAAAAGGTAATTTTCAGTTCATTTTATTTCAGTTCAAATATTCGCTTCCATGAATTCAGTGGATCAAATTCGACTGTTAAAATTCAACATTACATCCGGGAACTGCAGGAAAAGCAATAGATTGCAAATTGAAGATCGCCAGCTGCTCTAGCTTTCACCAGCAGGTGGAGATGGAATGTAAGATTTTTAACCCAGTAAACAGGCGAGAAAAAGGCAATTAAAGGCACAAAAGTAGCATTTAATATTAATATCAATGTTTTGGACAATATAAATGATAAAAAGTATGAGTAAATGAGGTTTTAGTCATCTATATTTGCCCTTATGTAACGGAAGCCAGCTGGTGATCGCGTAAATCTCAGTTCTCGGATCCAGTGACAGACGTTGTTCTGCAATCTTATCGGAGCTTGTCTCCCATGCCGGCTCGCTCCCTGCTCGGACCGGTGCAGTTACTTGCACATAAACCGTCTTTTGATGAATATGATGTTACACATTATCTTTATTGACTCTTTCTTCCATAGACGCGAAGTATTATATTGACAGCTAAAGAATATAAACGTAAGAGAAACAGGAAAGGAAATATTATAATAATAATACAAAATAGATAAACATTGTACAGGGCTAAGAACAATTACGAACAAAGATATTCAAAAGCAGAGAGATTTTATGAGAATGTCACACAAAACAGTTTACTTGGAACTGTTAAACAGTGTTCAGGTATGATTTAAGGTTGGTTATGGATGGGGCGTCTAATTTAAAATAATCTAACATAACGTGCGAATGCATTAAAGGAGCGTCTTCAGTTATTATTTAAACGCAGCTATGTCAGGATTGGGATAGGTTATATAATTTCATTATTTAAATTATGATTGTTAATATTAATATTTTATGACATGTATTTGGGGTATTGCGCTTAAATAAGTCATCCGTGATTCTAAATTAATATTTCTATTTATCCTTTTTATCACTCTGCCTGTCTTTCTCTTCTTTTTTTCTAATTATTGGGGTTCTGCCACGGTTAAACGTTTGCAAAATGTCTTAGTTTGTCCAGAATATTATTTTATTGTTATGTAGCCTATAGGCGAGAAAAATGTAACGCAAGTGGCAATGTCGCAGCCAATTATAAGTAATAAAATGAGTTGCCTGTGGTTTGATAATAGGCAGTTATAACTGACTTTAATTTGTTTTCAGTATTAAATGAGAAAACCATCATTTATAACTTTTCAGCAACCGTTTGTATTTTATGATTAGCAATGTTGATTTTTGCAGTTATTAAACATATAAACTTATTTAAACTGGTTTAAATTTAATATAGTTGTCACTTCAGCTAGTTTCATAAGATTAATGTTTAGAATGCGTGGTTTGACATGCGTGGTTGAGTGGTTTCTGCAAATCATGGGATTATTACTGAGCTTTAATCGCCATCTACTGGAGAGAATGTATTTGCTCATTTATTCTATTAACTCTTTTCTGCAAGTCTGTTTTATGATTTCACAAAGTCAAACCATTATTTTTTTATTTTATATTTTGAGATGATCATATTTAAATAAACAATTGCTAGGGTAGCTAATAGTTTCTTTTTTCTTGTTTTAAAAAAAAAAAATCAGTAGCCTATAAAATCATAATTTTTGCTTGACAAAGTTATTGGTTTAGGATTCTGGATGCATTTTTGCTAAATGAATGTTGGATACTCTCACACTAGTTAAATCAATTATATTATCAGAAATGACAGATATAAGAAATCCATTAATATTCATCACTCTTTTTACAATTGTACAAGCAATTTCGCGCCGACGTCAGCTCCACTTTCGTAAATGGTAAACAGCGAGGTGTTATTCATATAATCCCAAGCATGACATGTCATGATAATAATCGAAACACTCTTGTAGGCTATTCTTATGCTTGGCCAAATGTCATGACTTTCACTATTATTTTACATTATTATGCACAAGCCCAGGTATCATCTGAAACTTCGGAAGAATTCCTATCATATTGGCAGCCATCCAGCATCTCTTAACCAGTTTGATATGCGGCGCTGGCTCTGACCAGCCACCGGAGCTCGCGGCCACTCGTTCGTCTTTGTCGTGTGCAAGCCACACCGCACATGCATAAAAACGTCAATCATTTCATTCATTCATCAATTCATTCATTTTCCTTCTGCTTCGTCTCTATTTTAGTGGAAAAGCAATATTCTGGACAAACTAAAGACATTTTGCAAACGTAACCGTGGCAGAACCACAAAAAATAGAAAAAAAGAAGAGAAAGACGATATCAAAGTGATAGCTACAAAGGATAAATAGAAATATTAATCTAGAATCACGGATGACTTATTTAAGCGCAATAGCCCAAATACACGTCATAAAATATTAATATTAACAATCATAATTTAAATAATGAAATTATATAACCTATCCCAATCCTGACATAGCTGCGTTTAAATAATAACTGAAGACGCTCCTTTAATGCATTCGCACGTTATGTTAAATTATTTTAAATTAGACGCCCCATCCATAACCAACCTTAAATCATACCTGAACACTGTTTAACAGTTCCAAGTAAACTGTTTTGTGTGACATTCTCATAAAATCTCTCTGCTTTTGAATATCTTTGTTCGTAATTGTTCTTAGCCCTGTACAATGTTTATCTATTTTGTATTATTATTATAATATTTCCTTTCCTGTTTCTCTTACGTTTATATTCTTTAGCTGTCAATATAATACTTCGCTCCTATGGAAGAAAGAGTCAATAAAGATAGACAATGTGTAACATCATATTCATCAAAAGACGGTTTATGTGCAAGTAACTGCACCGGTCCGAGCAGGGAGCGAGCCGGCACAGGAGACAAGCTCCGATAAGATTGCAGAACAACGTCTGTCACTGGATCCGAGGAGTGAGCTTTACGCGATCACCAGCTGGCTTCCGTTACATAAGGGCAAATATAGATGACTAAAACCTCATTTACTCATTTTACTCATACTTTTTATCATTTATATTGTCCAAAACATTGATATTAATATTAAATGCTACTTTTGTGCCTTTAATTGCCTTTTTCTCGCCTGTTTACTGGGTTAAAAATCTTACATTCCATCTCCACCTGCTGGTGAAAGCTAGAGCAGCTGGCGATCTTCAATCTGCAATCTATTGCTTTTCCTGCAGTTCCCGGATGTAATGTTGAATTTTAACAGTCGAATTTGATCCACTGAATTCATGGAAGCGAATATTTGAACTGAAATAAAATGAACTGAAAATTACCTTTTGAATATTATACATCGTATTTTTAAAGGATATTGAATATTTTGTAAGTGAAATCTGAAAATTGAATATGAATTATTGAATTTTTAAGTATGAAAACGTGTTTGAAATATTTTTCGTTGAAATATTCAAAGCTTAAATATACAGATATGTTAAATTTCAGGACCTAAAAATACAAACCCTGGAATTCAAGTCATTAAAATGCAAGAACTTGTTAATACGGTGTATTATTTTTTTCAGTTTGTGATATTCAACAAGCTTTTTAATTCAAGACTTTAGGCATTGATTTTGTTCCATACAATTAGCCAGCGCAGTCGTCCCTCCATAGTAAAAAGCGACACTTTGTGTCTCCCGGTTTGTCTACTTGTGAGAGTTCCATTGGCATTTTCCCGCATGTTAATTCTGACCAATCGATAAGCAGTTTAGGAAATATGTAATAACATCTGGCCAATAAGTAATGTGGGTTTTGTCACATGACTGCACTTTGCTTCTTTTCAACTGGTTTGGTCTAAAGCAATCAGTGTGGTGTGAAAAGGACCCCAAAACGGCAGAAAATGCTACAATGCCATTAGTCCGGACCAAATGAATCGAACCACAGATGTGAAATCACCCTAATTCTAGGGGCCTTGTAAAATGAGCCAATTTTCACAATAAAGGGAAGTGTTGCTTTAAATGAGTATTAAATAAAGGATTGGTGGTTATCAGTGTAATTCTGCATGCAGGCCAGTTTAAATGAGCTATGATTAAAGATCGAGTCTCATTTTTTTTGTATTCACTTGGTCAGAAGCTGAGTGAGAGTGACACAAGAAGGTCAGACGGGGATGTTTCAGTGCTGTGCTGACTGTTGTCTGTATCGCCCCCTATAGGCCACAGTGTTCATCTACACAGACCTGCTGCTGTTGACCAGGGAAGATGAACCGGGACGCTGTAATGTACTGCAGAGTCCACTCTACCTCCATCAGATACAGCTACAGGACGGTATGTACTACTGTTTTACTCCAGCTCTGTCTTTTCAGAGCTTTTTTTGCACTGCATATTATGATGTTTGTACTATATGTTACTTAATTGTATTTTCTTTACAAAAACTACAAACTCTATTAAGTTTTAGTTGTATTATCACTAAAATGGCGGTATATAAATGCAACAAATCTGGTTTGTTTATTAAATTTTATTCATCATAAACAATTCTCACTCTTTTAACATACTGTCGAAGGCAGAGTTATTCGCCATCCTGTTTGTTTTTGATTCTTTTTTAAATATGTCTAAAATAATGTATAACAGAGCATGGAATTTTTCACAGTATTTCCAATAATATATTTTCTCCTGGAGAAAGTCGTATTTGTTTTACTCAGTGATTCACTCAATTGATTAAACACTTAGGCACTGTTTACACTAATACGTTTTAGTTTTAAAACAAATACGTTTTGCTTTGGTTATGCCTTCCGTTAACACTAATGCTGAGTTCAGACTGCAGAATGTTTAGATTTTAGCCCTCATTTTGACTCGCTAAAACGTTTTGAGAAATCACAGACAAATGCCTGAAATCACAGGTAAATCGGTGCTCGTTCACGTAAGTGAAAATCACACAGTGTGAACTATTAATGATGCGATATGAAAAAATCGCCAATGAGTTGCTGACACCCATGAGATATTTGGCATGCTAAATATCTGGAGCTGTCGGCGATTCAAATAATGCCGTGTGAAATGTTTTCTAATTGAAAATAACACCATGATCACTTACAGCCAATGAGAGGGTAGCATTCACTAGTACACATACCTGCCGGCCAGCAGGAGGCTGGGGGAGAAGTTAAAAGCGTCCATTTTCAGTTTATTTGGACCCAATAAATGGAGGGAAAACTAGTGGAAATTTGGCAGGAGCACTGTGTCTGTTTGATGTGTCATGTGAGCAATATCGCAACCAGGTCAAAGAGTAAAAAAAAAAGTTGAGAGATTGCTAATTCTCTTCAAAAGCCAGGCGAGCAACACACGTTTCTAAAGCGAAAGCCCTTTTTCCATTATGTTGTTAATAACGAAAGATTTATTACATGACCTCGCGTTGTTTCACTTCTCGCATGTGTTTGGTTGTGAGATGTGGTTTGGACAAAGTTTCTGTGAGTCTTCCTATTTTAAAGTCATGCGGTGTGATCTCTCCTGGCGCTGATCCATCCTACAGTGTAAACAGCAACGACAGAAAGCTAACCCAGATAGTTATGCAGTGTGAAAACATCCGTGACACGACTACCTTAAAAATCATGCAGTCTGAACTCGTCATAACCCGGAGTTTTCGAGCCCTGAAAACGGAGCCTTTTGTAAACGCTGAAGAGGCTGTTTTTATTTTAAAGTGCTGCTGCTGTATGTTAGTGTTAAGGGTGTCATGATTTCGATGTTAAATCGAAATCGATCTAAATTTATGCTCAATTTCGAGTATCGAATCAAATAACAGAATCGTCGATGCTGCCACGCCCCCATGTCACATCAGCTTGGCTTGCCAAGCGGGAAAAAAACACGCTTGTTGAAGTGCTAGTTAAACGGCAGACGCAGGAGACCCGTCGACAGAGCTTAAACCCTCTCCTCTTTCAATGAAGTCGCCAGTGTGGAAGCATTTTGGATTTCCAGTGAGTTATGTTGACAACTTTCATGTTGTCGAGAAAAAAAAAAACACAGTTTTGCAAGCTCTGCTATGTACGTATTAGGATTCGTCCAATAGACAACACCGGCATCGCGATCCTCCGCCCCGTTGCAAATCCGCTCACAAAAAGTACACACTCAGGCCCTGTTTACACTAATGTAATCTTTGTTTTTAAATGGCATTTTAGAACGACAACGATTTGACATCTACAGTGGCGTGTAGCATTTCTGAGCAGCCCTCTTTCCTCACTACCGCAAAAAACGCACATCACGTGACCACACACACACACAGAGACAGAGACGCACACACAGCCATGCGCTCGAGACAGCGGGTCCAGGCAGTCAGAGGATCAGTAGACTGCTTCAACCTTTCACTCACTTGTACTTAGTCATTTTAGCGAACACCTCAGATACTGTTGGCTGGTTTCTGTTGGTTGTGCACCTTTTTTTACCGACGCCATTACAACGACACAGATCACTGCCTATTCACGAGTCCTGCAGAAAAAGTGATTGACAGGTGGTAATTATGTGTGTAACTTGCCTTTATTCTATTACTGTATGATTTGTTTATGGGTAAAACAAAGACCATGCAGGTCAGGAAGTTTAAACGTTAGGCTACAAATAATTAATTCGTTATTAATTAATTAATTTTTCATAATCGAAAATCGAATCGAACCGTGACTTCAAAATCGAACATGTAATCGAATCGAGGATTTGGAGGATCGTGACACCCTTAGTTAGTGTGGATGGGGGAAAACGGAGACATCTGGAAACAGAGACATAGCTGCTGATTGGGGGTTTTCCTCATTATTAAGTGCTTAAAGTTCAGTCTTGCATCCTTTCCTGAAGTTCAGACTTTGCAAGTTGGATGTGGAAAACAAACTCCCGAGGACACATCAGGTAAAAACAGTGTGCTTTATAATGTCATTCACATGCCACTGGCTACTTACCAAAAAAATGAAAACACGATAAAAGGAACTAGCTATTTTCATTTTGATATTAACTGAAAAGACATTAAGAATGTTGAGACATCGTGTAGCTACATATTTATATGAGCGTCATCTTCACTGTGTGCATATTTATTACAAAACGGAGCCTATAACATAACTGCCTCCTTTTCAGTAAAAAATACGAAACATTATCCGTCTCTTTTGCTGGATATCAGTTTTAAAAATTAATAATGGCCCTTTTAAAAGTACAATGTGCAATAAGTTTATACAGTATAGGAAATAAAGGCAAGCAATCAGTCAACTGTGCAGAATCAGCGTATGTGGTTAAATACATGAATGTATTAACTTATCTGCGCTCAGCAAAACGTGTTATCTGAGCACAAGTATTAGATTAAAAAGACCATTACATAGTGACAAGATGAAATAAATATCATGTTTAATAACTATTGTGAGATGAGATCCAGCGGAAGATCCTGGATGAACTGTCCAACCTGCACTGCTGTGGCCCAGGGAGGTGCGCTCAAAGCACCCACTGACTGCCTGGAGCTCAGACGTGCTCATATGCTGCAGCGCATGCTAGAGTGTGTGTATGGTAACCTGATGTACGTTTTCAGCAGTGTAGTGTTCAGAAACACCAGTGTCGACGCGAATCGTCATGCCATTTTAAAATTAAAACGTATTGTAAACAAGGCCTAATTTATTAACTCTTTCACATACACACACACACACACACACACACTGTTTTGAACATGCAGATTTAATCATTCAGTCTATCTGTATATCATGTCTCCGGGTGGATTGTTTAGAGCAGAGGGGATGTTAAGGCGGTCCACCCTGTTTTATTTGTGACTGTGTGTTAGTGGCGATAGTCAGGAAGGAGGCGTCAGGACTGTGGGAATTAAGTATGTGAGTGTGATGAGAGCGCAGTTCTCCTTACTCTCCGTGTCTGCTGTGAACAATAGCCATGTCTCCGGTATGGCCGATTATAGGCAGGGTGGGCGGGACGGTGTATTCTTTACTTTCCTGAAAACAGAAATACTGCAGCATGTGGCACAGAGGGCAAGTCTGTCTTCAACCTTTATTTGACATCTCCTTTCCTCAAATAACCATCACTACGCTGACCTTTGTTCATTCGGATGTGAAATTAGTTGGTGTGAGCGATTCACTTGTCCGTTAATGCAAGAGGCAGGCTTAAATGTGCAGAGAAGGGTCAAAGTGATATCACAAAATATAATACATCAAGATCTTATGTTTATATATGCTGATCATGGAAATAATGTAAAAAGATACAGTTGAAGACAGTATTATTAGCCCTCCTGTATATATTTTTTTCTCCAGTTTCTGTTTAATGGAAAGAAGATTTTTTTTCAACACATTTTTAAACATAATAGAGGAGTACAGGAATGAAAGTAATTTTTCATACTTCATCAAAACTTTGTTTTAAAGGTCCCTAGTAACAAAGAATTCTGGCCCAGATTTGGCATAAAGCTGGGACAGCAGGCATTCATCCGGCACTGGCATACAGCATGTGGGCCAACCATGGCCTGGGTTTGGCAGAGGTGGCACCGTCTATAATGCGGCACACAAGATTTGGGCCAGATGTAAAACGTAGTATTTGGCCCAGATTTTAAGAATTTATTGTGGGCCACGTGAGTTTGGCCAGTCTTGACCCACATTTAAAATACATTAAAACAATTTTTAAGTTAAATAAATCAATTTTACCAATCAGGTAACTGAGAAAAAACAAGGCCCATAGTGTGCCTAAAGCGCAACGCTTCATAGGTTTATCAATTTCATTGCAATCGTGACATACCAACCTTACTGGCCCAGTTCAGGCCCAGTTATGAGTTATTAACTTGGCTGAGACTTGGCCCAGATATGGTCTGTGTTTGGCCCTTGTCTAGAAGCCAGATTTGGTCCAGTCATGTACCGTAATTCACTGCGGCATGTGGGCCAAGCAAAACCTGATTGTGTGGGCCAGAGCTGGGCCAGAGAAATTTTGCTATGTGCTGTATGTAAGTTTAGCCTTCTGAAGCATAGTAATACCATAATATGCAGATTTTTAAGAAACATGCTAAGTGAGGATTCTTGTTTGTCTGAAAAGCAATGCTGAAGTCAAAAATTCTACTTTGAAAATGTGCTTTCCATACCCGTATGTCTGTGTTTGTTTTGGTTCCTTTAACCCACCAACTTCCAGTTTAGCCAATTATATTTCAGCACCCCGGGTTGCCTTGATGGAACACAGTGTATTTTGTTTTGTCATTCATTCAGAAAGGCTCTCAAAGCATGCGCCAGTGACCGAAATGCTCCTCCGGTGGACAGTAGCAGACTTCAAGACACAAGCTGCATCTCAAATCGCATACTTAGGCACTATTCTACGCCATTTTGTTGTATAATTAGTGTTAGTAGTGTGTTCTCACTGAAAACTCTAAAAATAATAAGAGCTCTTTAATTACCTGGATGATGCACTCATTCAGCTGGTAAACTAAAGTGTGTAATGATGGACATTTCACGCACTCAACGACTGCAGGTTTACTCGCGTACTGGAAAGGGGGGGAGCTTTCGGGTGCACATGTTGGATAATTATTTATTTTGATGGTGAAGGCAAAATTCTCCTACGAGAGTGATTATAGCTCCTCCCGATGGTGAATGCTGTTATACTCATAGCAGGTGTTATTTGATAATTCAGTCGTTTATTTCACTGATTTGGCAACCGTCATCAGTAAAACGGTTTGAATTTCCGCTTAGTAAAAAAAACATTAGTGCTTCGTTTGGGACGACACTACATACATAAACTATGCTGGTGAGTGTGTACGTGAATAAGCACATAGTGCATGAGTGCATAGTGTTTAGTGTGCCAGTTGGGACGCAGCTTATGTTTTTAGAAGAAATATATTTTTGCTTAGGTTACTAACTCACAAGTGTGGTCGATAAAACAAGTGTATATATTTTATTATTATATTATATTATATTATATTATATTATATTATATTATATAATATTATATCATATTATATTATATTATATTATATTATATTATATTATATTATTATTATTATTATTATTACTATTATTATTATTATATTATATTATGTTATATTATTATTATATTATATTATTATTATATTATATTATTATATTATATTATTATTATTATATTATATTATATTATATTAGATTAATTTATATTATATTATATTATATTATATTATATTATATTATATTATATTATATTATATTATATTATATTATATTATATTATATTATATTTAAACAGTTAACAGCACTCTATTTATGCAGCGCACAAATGGCTGACATATATAAGGGTACATGTGGGTGTTAACATCCCCCAGAGTCAGGCAATGTTAAAATTACAACACTTATAACAGCCTCAGGGTAAGAAATTCACACTTCTGTCTCCTCTATTCCAGTTCCTGCAGACAAGCTGCGGCTCTACATCTCCTACTGGATAGAGGTGAGATCCTGCATCCAAGCACCGCACCGACCCACTCGTACCGCACAGATCTCTGCTCACACGCACCACATTACAAGACCTCATCATGCTTAACACTGCACTGCTGCTGTAATGTGTTTCCTATCAAAAGGTTGACCTAACAGGATGGCCCTGCGGTAAACATTTACAGGATGTAAACGTTAAGCGGCTGTTAAATGCAGGGTCTCTCTGCATCGGGGGGCTTACGTCACATGTTAGAGCCTTTAAAGCTGTTCTTTCTCTCCAGAGTAAACGTGCCTGAAAGACTCACTCGAGCAAACACATTCATCGACCCAGCCATCTGCCCATCTCCCTGACAACACCTCACACATACACACACACACACACACACACTTGAATGTGCGAGTATGATTACATCTCTTTCATGCCCTTCTCCTGCATAACAGCGCATGTGGAACCTGCTTTGAGAATTTTTTATTTTTTTTCCCCTCAAATTTAATGATGTGTGTGTTTGTGTGAGACATATTAGGACACAAATGTGTATAATGACATGGTTATGATAAGTATTACAAGAAAATGGTGACCTATGAGCACATTGCTGATGTCCTAGGCATATGAGGCATATAGAATTAGTTTTTGGTTATTTCAGAAAGGTAGCACTTAATAATAACTGCACACGATATGTAGTTTATCAAACATTAGGAAATAGTTAATTCAATACGCCTTAAGAATTAACCTCTTTATTAATAGACATTAGTTTATAAATACATCTTAAAATGCCATATCATTGACTTAAAAGCACATGTACAATGTGCCTAGTGATTGTTTTTTCATATTTTGTTAACTCTTGTGTACTGTTCAAATTGACTACGCTTTCGTTATGTTTGTGACTGTTTTTGCCCCATTGACTTCAATCATAACTACATTCTTTGATTGCAAAGCAATGACACCAAATAATCATGCATTCTTGATTGTTGGTGTTTTTCCATGTTGGGAAGAGATTAAACTTTAAATTCCTAGTGTTGATCATCAGTTGGCAGCATTAACCCTTTATGAACCGTTACCACTAAGTGGTACGGTACGGTTCGGTTTGGTACGCTTTTTTTTTAAACTTTTTATTTAAGATTTTTATTTTACAGAACAACCCCTTCCCCAAAAATTGTACCCCTTACACTCAAGGGGATACCTAAAAAAAAATAAATAAATAATGAAATTATAATAATAATAAAAAAAGAAAATCAATAAAAAAAATTAAGATAATAAAAAATAAAAATAAAAGGTATTGCCATCATAATTACTTCACCGGGGATACATTTGTACGTCAAGTTACATTGTGTTGCATAGTAGTTACATACAATTACAGTGATGATAAAGTGAGGTTAAGCAATCTCTAAATATACTTATCTAAATATGTCGTAATACTTTTCCACCTCTTTAGAAAAATATCAGTCTTTATTTGTAGACATGCAGTCATTTTTCCCATTATATAGACCTGTTTAAGTCTCTGAATCCACTGAGCCACTTTTAGAGAACTTTCTTCCATCCAATGTACTGTTATCATTTTTTTTGTAACCAGTAATAATATCCTTAGGACAAGTCTTGTTACCTTATTGAACATTTCTTTGGGCAGTGCTCACAGGAAACACATAACTGGATCAAGGAGTATTTCTATATCTAATATCTTATCTATTTCTTTTTTTAACATTTTTCCAAAACTCTTGAATCTTTGGACAGTCCCAAAAAATGTGGGTATGATCTCAAATTTTACTACATTTTCTCCAACACAAAGCTACCGATGGTTATTTTACATATGTAGATATTACAAAAGGAGTATTAAAGTACCTCATTTTTACTTTCCAATCAAATTCTCTCCACAATTGACTATTAATTCCTTTATGACATCCTTCACATAACTCATCCTCAATTATGGTGTTTAGTTCTAGTTCCAATTTTCCTTTTTACGTGATCGGTATTTTGTACAGTATTATTTACTAGTCTTTTATATAAATGGGAGACGTGATTATTAGCTGGAGTGTTTGTTTTTTTTTGGTTTGGTACGCTTTTATGGCCAAACCAAACCACTTTTACGGCAACCTTTCGAAAGGTTAGCAAACACGAGAAAGGGTATCAAAAGGCGGAGCTAGACGCGCAGCTGAACGCTATTGGTTTACAGAGATACGTCATTCACTTATGCAACAAGCCAGAATGAAAACAAAAAACCCGCCATGTTTAAAATACACAGCCAAGAGATTACAGCGGAATTATATATACATATAATAACAAGCCATGGTCGATCCGGGCTCAACAACCCTTGTCGTTGTCTTGATGAACAGCCACAAAGCCATGGAGTAGAGCAGAATCTACCCTGTGCTTCATAGTTTTTTACGAGCCAGTCTGAAGCGCAAGGGGTTTCGCTTTCTTGCTTGCGCTCGCCGCGCGTCTATATCTGAAATAACAAACTTCTTGGGCTGATGATAATAACGTGCGCTTGATTATTGACGTGCTTTTAAAACCCGATCCTGTCAGACACTGACAAACGCAAGAGTGAAGCGCGAAAAAAAAGGAGAAGCCGGAAAAAAGAAGCACATTATTTCTTCAGCAAACTTGAACAAACTGCCTTGTTTTAATTTTTATCATCACCTTTTGGACTAGTATGAACGAGGAATGATGGAATGACTCTCTAACAGAGGCTACACATGCTGCTGAAGATTACAGACACAGATGAGAGGTCTTACTGTAGGCTATATTTTGTGTTGTTTTGAACCTAAATAAGGATGAAATGTCTGCTGTGTGTAGTTTTTCTGTAGTTGGTAACATATTGGAGACTGTAAGAGGCTGCATGTGTTTATATATGTTCATTTATTTATTTATTTTATATAATTACAGACGTTATCGTAGGCTATTTTGCGCTGTCATTGATCTGCAGTTATAATCAAATCCTGTTTATAGAAAAGTTAGCAATAAACATTTATACAGAAGTATTTATGTGTGTAAAGCATCTGTTTTGTAAGAAGTGCTTTTCATATGATATGTGAACAACCCGTACAGCTTTATTGTAGACGTTTCCTCGAGCAAGAATGATGCGACTGAAACGTTCTATCATACATCACGCCTACCTAAAGGGTACTTTTGGTAGTGGAATTGCAAGCCTGATAAAGGTGACCCGTACCAACCCGAACCGTACCGTACTGTACTACTCAGTGGAAACGAGCCATTAGATTGGCCTGTCCAAAAACATTTCCAGCTTTAATATAGAGTTCTATCCTCCTATGGGGCTTGAGTGTCCACATATGTGGACAGCACATTTTAGCTCATAGGTGGCTATTTAAAATACTTTGAATGTTTTATATGTTGTTACAGACATACAGTGTCATCCTGCAACTGTCCTACAACATATGAAATGTCCCAAATCCTATATTTAACTGTCCAAAATTGGAAAATAAATTTTTTTTTAATCTCTTATACTTAAAGCAAGTAAAAAAAAAAAAGTCTATGTTATATATGCATTAAAAACAGTCAGGAAAAAGTGTTTTATGTAAATTGGGACTCCAAGTCGACACATATAATTTTTCTGTAGAAGTACTTTATATCAAAATATTATACTTAGATTTTGATTCTAATTAGGTTTCAATAAGTCCGAATAGCAAAGAGAAATAAAAATGCCTGTAAGCAAAACACCTTGGGCCTTAAGAGGCTATGGAGTAAAACAACATATTTTTTGTAGTAAGTGTGTGTATATACACTTACTATGCTCTCAGAGCTGATGGGATTTATTATTTTTATTTTTAAAATATCAAGGTAGGTGCGCGAAGGTCTCACTCACACTTTCACACACACACTATATCCCATAACTATAACATCTTAAGCCAAAAACTGCACTTTTTTTTACTCTGCAACTGATGATCAACAGTAAAAACGACAAATTTGACCTCTTTCCAACAGGGAAAGCCACGAACAATTAAGAATGCATGATTATATGGTGTCATGGCTTTGCATTTGAAAAATGTCATTGTAAAAGAGGCAAAAACAGCCCTGAACATAGCAATAGTCTAATTGCCCAGAGTGCATTGTTGGATTTTTGGATAAATTTCAAAGCATTTTCCTTAAATATGTGTCTAAGTGAGATTTGTCACCAAATTAACTAAATTAATGTGGCCAAATTAACACTCAAAGTAACCCTAGAGTGGATGAAAACATCCCCAACAGCATACAAGGGTTAATGATTCACTTTTTATAACTAAATTAAATATTGCATTATTTACAAACCGGTTACTTAAGATTATTTTTCTCACGATCATTCAGAATACATAAGTGAATGATTAATATACCATTCAAATTAACAATTAAATTTGAAGAGTTTAGATGCAAAAAAATAAAGTTTCATCCAAAATTTTCATCTAAAATGAGCATTTTTTTCAAGCTGTTGTGTGTAGTTTCAGTAACTTTACTTTTAGCGCAAGTAATAGGTTGTTTTCATTACCTTTGAAGTGAAATAACTAAACTTTAACATAGGAGGTTAAGAAAAATGCTCTTTTTACAGGAAATTTTCAGACGGTACTTAGAGGTTTTTGCATCTAAACTCTTCATTTATTATAATTCAGGCATTAAGTAGTTACTTTGGATGTTAATAAATGCTTTATTAACTCAACTTCATTCGGTTTTGTGACTTAATCTAAAGTGAGGACTATTTATGCATTGTAAATCCCTTATAAACAACAATTAAAGGCTAATTATCAAATGAACAATAGATCTTTAAAATCTTATGTACAAAAATAAAATTACTGTAAAGTTTAAACATTGCTGAATAACAGGAGTATCTAAAGAATGCATAAAATTGGATAAAACAATATAATCATTTAACAGTATTTTATAAGACAACATTTGAATGTTATTCAGTGATGCTTAAACTGTACAGCAGGTAGCACTTCAGTTTAGGTAACAATTCACACCATTTACTACTGGCTTATTACCTGCCTATTATTAAGATAATAAATGTTGATTAGCACTTTTAAAGTATGATCTTATTTTACATCTCTAATCAACCCATCTACTATCTTACTTGCTATTAATAAGCAGCTAATTAGTAGTTTATTGAATAAAAAGTCCTAATTATGCTTAATTATTTAATCTTAAATGCAATGTGTAGTATAAACACAATTGGAAGCCTATGGAATGTCCCAACAATTCACTAAAAAAGCTGCATGTGTTACCGTCTGTGTGTGTGTTACACTTGTTCTGGTGGTTTATGAGGACTCTCGATTGGCGTTATGTTGTTTACATTTTAAATACCCTTTATTATATTGCCTTACCCTTACCCCCTCCCTGTTATTATACAAATTTTTCCTTGTAAATCAGCAAACTCAGCACACACACACTATCTTCATGGGGATTTCCCATATACAAATGATTTTTATACTGCACAGACTTCATATCTGTCCACTTTCCCCAACCCTACCCATCATCCCAACTATTACGAGAAATAAAATCAATTATCTTAATTTTCTCTTTTAGTTCTTTGTGATTTTAGCCATTTAGCCACAAAAATGTCCCCACAAGGTCTACATTTACAGGTATTGCTGTACTTACGGGGACATTTGCTCCCCACAATGAAAGGAATACAATCTTCGTGCACAAACACACATATAGGTGTACATGCTCAGTGAGACACACATGAAAGTCAGAGTGAGTATGATTACATACATTTTCTGCCTTTCTCCATCATAACAGTGCATGACACAGAGGTTTCTTAAGAGAGATGGTCTTTTATAGGTGGTCTGATCCCTTTTTCCCTCATATTTAGTGTGACTTTGATGTGTAATTGTATTCTTTGTCTCATATACAAACACACATTGGTATGAATGTGCGAATTAGTGCCATTAAATCTCTTTTATGCCCTTCTCCTGCATAACAGCGCATGATACTGAGGGTTTTTATTTATAGGAAGCTTCTTTAAAGAAAAAACACTTGATTCCTTTTACATTTAAATTTAATGAGGCTGGGTTGTGTTGTGCTTTTTCTTCACTAGGGATGCAACGATCAACCGGTTTCACTATTAACCGCGATTTAATTCGTCACGGTTAATTAATTTGTGAAGGCTTCTCAACACCGTGTTTCTGCATAGAGCTAAACTGCTGCAACTTAAAGTCATGCCAACTGAGTGCTAGTACTGTACACCTTGCACACTGGATTAACTATGGCTGAGGTTATTAGGTAAGGCCTGTCACATATTGCGTCTTTTGCACGCACAGGTTCGTTATTTCCAATGAAGGCGCGTGACTTGTATATATGGAGCGACGGTCTCGTGCTTTCCAGACGCATCTACTAGTTAAAAAAGAATGCCACGAGCACCCTACACCGAGAAAACAAAATGCAAAATGAAAAATATAAAATGAAAAATACCAAAAATGTAGTTATGTAGTTGATCAAAAGGTTCAGCAGCCTGTGAATAAATTTGTTCACTGTAAAAGGGAAAAACTTATCTATTATGTAACTTACATTTACGTTAGACAAATACTACCTAATCAGATTTTACTTACAGAATAAATCAGTTTTTAGAATTTTTAATTTAGAAATTAGGTTTTAAAATTGTCATGTTTATAAATGTGTAAAACTTCTTTCTGTTAATCCGAAATTGGAGAAAAAAAAATTGTAATTCAAGAGCGCTAATAAGTCTGACTTGATCTCTATGCAAGTGACCATGATTGCATCTCTTCCCTCCTCCAGCATAACAGCGCATGACACTGAGGGTGCTTTCACACCTGTGAATCAATTCAGTTTTACTGAAACAGGGATTAAAATTGTTACATTGTTGCTCTTTGTTCTTGGTGCTGTTCACTTTCATACTGGAAAGTTTCTGAGGGTGCTTTCACACCTACACTTTTGTTTCGGAACGTATCTCGTTTGCCCAGTTAGCGCGGTTCGTTTGGCATATGTGAACAAGGCAATCGCGCTCTGTTCTGCGCCAAAGTAATCGCTCCGAGATCGCTTGAATGAGGTGGTCTCGGCTCGATTGAAACGAACCCTGGAGCGGTTCGATTGCAGTGAGAAAGCGATCCGATCCGAGCGCGGTTATATCACAGTGTTTTATGGATATGTTATAGGTATACGGCTATATGAAGAGAGAATTATGAGTATGGCGGGAAGTTTCGCGAGTCTCCGGATGCCCGCAAACGAGTGATGATCTCCCGGTAATCTCGCGTCTCCCTCCTGGTCCTCAAATAGGCATCGTCGCGCACCCTTCTCACCCCTCCCCACCGCGTCTCTCCTCAGACACGTCGCGCGCGCACCCTGTCAATCACCACCTCTCCTGACAGCTTAGCAGGACGCTGCAAAATAAACCCTGACACTCTGACCAATGTGAGGAGAGTTTACTCGCACGTGACTTTTTTTAGCTCTTTTGGTCCGATTAGAAACTTTGCAGTGTGAAAGCGAACCGCTCCAAGAGCAAAGAGCAATAATGTAACAATTGTAATCTCTGTTTCGGAACAACTGAATCGATTCACAGGTGTGAAAGCACCCTAAGTGGACCAAAAGAGCTAAAACAATTCACTTGTGAGTAAACTCGCTCACATTGGTTAGAGTTTTACGGTTTATTTTGCCTTATCTGAGTCCCGCTCAGCTGTCAGGGGTGGTGGTGGTTTGGTGGTGTTTGACAGGGTGCGACGTATTTGAGGAACCAGGAGGGAGACACGCGATTTCCGAGAGATTATCGTTTGCGGGCATTCTGGAATCTCTGTGCATTTGCGGGAGACCCCTGAAACTTCCGGGAGACTTGGGATGTCTGTTGAATGACCTCTCGCCCAACTAATAATTCTCTTCACATAGCCTTTTGTCTATTACATATCCATAAAACACTGTGATATAACCGGGCTCGGATCGTATCGCTTTCTCAGTACAATCGATCCGCTCTGATCCGCTCCTCTCCCTCTCGTTTCAATCGAGCCAAGACCACCTCATTCAAGCGATCTCGGAGCAATTGATTTGGCGCGAATCTTAGCGCGATTGGTAGGTTTCATATATGCCAAACGAACCGAGCTAACTGGGTAAACGAGACAGGTTCTAAAACAAAAGTCTCTGGTTTCTCTGAAGAGAGGCTCTTTCATAGGTGGAACCTGCTTTAAGAAGAAGAAAAAAAACGATTGATTCCTCTTTTTTTTTTTCCCTGAAATGAATGAGGTCGTGATGAGTAATTGCGTCCTTTCTCTTATGATCACTCCCTCAGATGTGTTATACACTCTGTCTTTGTGTGTGTGTCTGTAGAGAACCGAGTGTCTGTTCAGCCTGGAAGCCTTTTCATCGGAGCAGAAGAGGAGGGTCGTGCAGTGTCTGAGAGACAATATTGACAAGCAGCTCGCCCTGAGGGAAAGAATAGGCCCTGACCAGGTACTAAATCAAATACAAGCACACTCGCTCGCTAAAATAGACACTTGGGCTCGCATTGAACCACAGCCTGCCTGCTTTTTTTTCTCCAGCAGTTATGTAGTGTTATTGCTCAGGAGAGGTAGGGTTTTATTAAACAGCAGTAATGTCTGTAAAATGACCTTGCATTTCGAGAGCTGTTTCTTTTTTGCAATCAGATGGTTTGGTGTGGTGCTTTCTTATTAAAGTCAGTGTAAAGATGTGTTTGCAGCCTGTGCTGCTTCTGTAATGTGATTACACACATCTGAAGTAAACTAGATGTGTGATGAGGACAAAATGTAGGTGGTTTGGTAAATCGGGAATCAATTGGTTTGGTGAAAGATCTCTGTGCATGGGTAAAGGGCAGGAGTTGTCTTAACTTTGATTTCAAGGTGATCTTTTTAACAATAAGTAATAAAAAACATCTTTTAATTAGTATTTTTATCATTTTAATTTATATAAATAGCATGCATAAGTGAAGGAATATTTATCAAAAATTAGTGCTGGGCTTTTATTGATCAAGTTTGAGAATCTGTAACACTTACTGTATGTTTATTTTATTATAAAGAGATCAGATATTTTGTTTAAATATTATAGTTTTTGACTATTCCAACTGTCTTAATAATGTTGGTAAATTAAAATAAAGTGGTAAATAAATAAATCCTAATATTCCTAAAATGTATTGTTAAAAATATTAAATAAATTCAGTAATTAATTATAGATATCGAATGATATGAAACAGGATATCGTATATATATATATATATATATATATATATATATATATATATATATATATATATATATATATATATATATTTTTTTTTTTTTGCAATGTCACTCAGCCCTATCAAAGACCCAAATGGCATCACTTGTTAAGCAATTGTTTTTTTTTTTTGTTTTTTTTTTTACATTTTCCCAATATAATTTTTCATATTTTTATATTACAATAGGATGTTTGGTGATATGGTTGTATCATTAAGATGCTAGTTTATTTTTTAAAAATGTTTGTATTTATTTATTTATTTATTTTTTCATTTTAATTTGTGCTTTTTAATTGTGGTTTTGAATTTTAAATCATAGTGTCTGTAAAATTTTTGAAAGATATTTTAGATAGTTTAAGGAGTTTGGAGGACATTTAAAGGGTTTTATATACTATATGTGTATTTTATTTTATTATAACATAAAAATACAAACATAAATATTTTTATTTATATTCCAATTTTGAGTTTTATATATAAAATAACAACAAATAAATGTAAACATATATACTAAATTAATGATTAATTAAAAGAACATTTTATTTTATCATTTTTTTTTATTAATAAAATTATTTTCATTTAATTTTATTCTCTTCTTTTATAGAAGATTAGACTGTTTTTGTGACTCGTTTGTGACACCAGTAACTTGATGTATTAAGAAAAAAAGGTATTAAAAATCCTAATGGCATCACTTGTTGAGCTCATTTCTTTTTACTTTTTCCTAATATAATTTTTTATGTTGTCATATTACAATAGGATCCTGGGTCCAGTGATATGGTAGTATCATTAAGATGCTAGTATATTTTTAATAATGTTTTCGTTTAGTTGTTTCATTTTAATTTGTGCTTTTTAATTGCGGATTTGTCTGTAAAGATTTTTAAAGATATTTTAGATAGTTTAAGAGGTTTAGAGGACGCTTGAAAGGTTTTTATATACTATATATTTTTTTATTTTAATATTACATAAAAATACAAACTTAAATAGTTTATTTATTTTACGATTTTTAGTTTTATACATACAATAACAACAAATAAATGTACAACTATATAGTTAATTAATGATTAATAAAAATAATATTTTATTTAATCTTTATTTAATTTTTAATTTAAAGACGTATTAAAGACCCAAATGCCATCACTTCTTAAGCTAATTTTTTAACAATTTCCTCAAATAATTTTTGATATGTTCATATTACTTTAGGATGTTGGGTCCAGTTATATAGTAGTATCATTAAGATGCTAGTATTTATTTTTTTTAATAATGTTTCGACTTATTTATGTATTCATTCATTCATTTATTATTTATTTATTTATTTGTTGTTAATTAATTAATTGATTTTTATTTTAAAGTTTATTTTGTTACTGTGCTTTATAATTAAGGTTTTTTTTTAAGTTTCTGAAGTTTTTTAAAAATATATTTTAGCTAGCTTAAGGTTGTTTAGGGGAAGTTTAATTATTTTTTTTATATATTTATTTTAGTATTAAGTAAAAATACAAACAAAACAAATTTGTTAATTTAATTTCTAATTTTGAGTATTATATATATTAAAACAAATAACAAATAAATGTAAAATAAATTAATGAATGTTAAAAAATATATAGTTAATTAATAGAAAATATTTTATTGTATTTTACTGTATATATCAATTATTATTTATTCATTTTTTATTATTCTTTTTTTTCTAAAGCTACTTTTTATCATTTTAAATGATCTTTTGGATGAAATGTCTCATCTAAATTGAAATAGCTTTTAATCAGAATTATCCACCACATCCTGCAATAATTAGATTTCAAACATATAATGACCTAGCCACATTACATAAAAATGCCATATGAAACACATTCAAACTGGACTCAAAGCCACCAAGCCCAATTCTGTACCACTGTAAACCCACTCAGCCTTCATTTGTGCTGACTTCAACAGGCAGATAGCAGATGCTCTCTCCACTCCATAGAGAGCATGTACGAGTTCAACATAATGTTTGTTCTTTTGTTTTTTCATTCTCCCTCTCTCTCGCTTTCTCCACTGGGTGGGCGAGTGACATCAGGAGAGCAGCGACATCATCATCAGACTAGCACAAACAGACACGCGCATGTGACGGCGTGAAAGAAAGACAGTGTAGAGAGTGTAACACGGCTGTTGTAATGCGTGCCAGTATGACGGAGGGCTACAGTACTTGTTGGTAAGGGCCAGACATTGCAGCTTTACAGAGGTGAGGGCATTCGATTGGTGACTAATCTGTATGTGTTTTGTGGAAAGCAAGATTTTTTCAGCTTTTTTGTGTGCATTTTGATTTGTTTGCTGTGGTATTTCAGAATAGTTTGCTGTTCTTTATGTTGAAATATTGGAGTAGTTCCATACTGTAACAGGGTATAGAAAATGTAACTGCAGTGTGAAGTTGGTGTAAAATATATTGTATACTGGTTGTTTAGTAAAGATGGAGTTGTGGCATGTTGTTATCTGCTCATGTCAGTAATTGTTGTTTACCTGCGGGTGCCAGATCCTCTGCTCTGTGTGTTTTAAAGAGCTGCTGTGTTTGTGAGTCAGTCGCACCGCATGCAAACTACTTTATAAGCTGATAAGATATGTATGGCACATGAATACATTAACCTTTTGCTTTACGGTCTAGAGATGTAGAATACAATTCTTAAGGTTTTTTCTTCTTCTTTTTCATTTTCTCCGTCTGCTTTTTCCCGTTCCCTGTGGAGCAGTAGAACACAATGCTCAATATAATGCAGTATTGATGTTTCGTTCTCTAGCATTTGCTCTCTCTCTCTCTCTCTCTCGCTCGCTCTCTTTCTCTCACAGTTCAATTCAGTTCAATTTGCTTTATTGGTTTGACAGTACTATTTTCTTTACGGTATTGCCTAAGCATTTTAGATATGTATAAGGAATATGGAGTATATTAACATTATTAACAACAATAACATACAGTTGAAGTCAGAATTATTAGCCCCCCTGAATTATTAGACCGCTTATTTGTTTTTTCCCTAATTTCTGTTTAATGGAGAGAAGATTTTTTCAACACATGTCTAAACATAATATTTTTAATAACTCAGTTCTAATAATGGATTTATTATATCTCTACCATGATGACTTTAAATAATATTTTACTAGATATTTTTCAAGACATTTCTATAAAGCTTAAAGTGACATTTAAAGGCCTAACTTGGTTAATTAGGTTAACTAGACAAGTAAGGGTAAAGTATTGTACAGTATAACAGTGGTTTGTTCTGTAGATTATCGAGAGAAAATATAGCTTAAAGGGGCTAATAATTTTGTCATTAAAATGGTGTTTAAAAAATTAAAAACGGCTTTTATTCTAGCTGAAATAAAACAAATAAAATTTTCTCCAGAAGAAAAAATATTATCAGACATACTGTGAAAATTTCCTTGCTCTGTTAAACATCATTTGGAAAAAAAATTTAAAAAGAAGAAAAAAATTTGAAGGGGGCTAATAATTCTGACTTCAACTGTATGTAATAACTGAGAAATGTAATATATTTACATCATTATTGATAACAAAATGCAATAAATGAGGAATAAATGACAGTACTGTTTTCTTTACAGTATTACACAGCATTTTAACTACTGTATAAAAATATGGAGTATATTTGCATCATTAACAATAATAACATATGTAATAAATAATAAATGTAATATATTTACATCATTGATGAAAACAAAATGCAATAAATGACAATTAATTGACGGCACTTTTTTTATTTACGCTATTGCCAAAGCATATTAACTATGTATAAAGAATATGTATTTACATCATTAACAATAATACATATTCAATAAATGAGAAATGTAATATATTTACATCAAAAATGATAACAAAATGCAATAAATGAGAAATACATGACAGTACTTTTGTCGTTACAGTATTGCCAAAGCATTTTAACTACTGTATCTATAAAGAATATGGAGTGTATTTACATCATTAACAATAATAACATGCAGTAAATGAGAAATGTAATATATTTACATCATTAATGATAACAAATTGCAATAAATGAGAAATGTAATAGGCAACGCAGTGGCGCAGTAGGTAGTGCTGTTGCCTCACAGCAAGAAGGTCCCTGGTTTGAGCCTCGGCTGGGTCAGTTGGCGTTTCTGTGTGAAGTTTGCATGTTCTCCCTGCGCTCGCGTGGGTTTCCTCTGGGTGCTCCGGTTTCCCCCACAGTCCAAAGACATGCGCTATAGGTGAATTGGGTAAGCTAAATTGTCCGTAGTGTATGAGTGTGAATGAGTATGTGTACATGTTTCCCAGAGATGGGTTGCGGCTGGAAGGGCATCTGCTGTGTAAAAACTTGCTGGATTAGTTGGCGGTTCATTCCGCTGTGGCGACCCCGGATTAATAAAGGGACTGAGCCGAAAAAAACATGAAATTAATTGAAATGAGAAATGTAATATATTTGCATCATTAATGATAAAAAAATGCAAAAAATGAGAAATAAATGACAGTACTGTTTTAATAACGGTATTGCCAAAGCATTTTAACTACTGTATGTATAAAGATTATGGAGTGTATTTACATAATTAACAATAATAACATTTGCAGTGAATAGGAAATGGAATATATTTACATTATTAACAATAATAACATATGGAATAAATGAGAAATGTAATATATTTACATCGTTAATGAAAACAAAATGCAATAAATAAGAAATACATGACAGTACTAATGTCTTTACTGTATTGCCAAAGCATTTTAACTACTCTGTGTATTACGAATATGGAGTGTTTTTACATCATTAACAATAATAAAATATACAATAAATGAGAAATGTAATATATTTACATCGTTAATGAAAACAAATTGCAATAAATGAGAAATAAATGACAGTACTATTGTCTTTACTGTATTTTGCCAAAGCCAAAGCATTTTAATTACTGTATAAAGCATTTGGAGTATATTAACACCATCAACAATAATCAACAACAATGTATTATATTTGCATCAACAATATTAAAATGCATCAAATGAGAAATTAATGACAGAAAAAATAACTAAATACTATAAATACCAATAAAAAAGGAAAAATACCCCCAGACAATGCCACTGTTATTAATAATATTATTAGCAATTGTAAAGAGTGTGTATTGTTTAAAATAAGGCAGATGAATTCAGTGTGTTAGTCATTTCTTATGGTGTTAAGGGTGTACACATATTTCGCAGATAGTTTGGCTGTTATGTTGTATTGACGTTTCTCTGAGCCATTTTGATTAAAGAATTAAATCATTTAATGATTATCTCTCACTCTCTCTCTCTCTCTCTCTCTCTCACTCTCTCTCTCACTCTCTAGTAATTTATTCTTAATGTGCTTCATTCAGATGATAATTGTAAAGATTTTGGGTTGTTTTACAGCTTTTCCATGTGATCAAAATAAAAATAAAAATTGTTTCCCTACAAATTATTTTAAAAGTGTGATCTGGTTTTAAACAAAACCCCAATATCAATTTTCATTGCTTGCTTGCTTCCCTGCTTTCTTTCTTTCTAGCTTTCTTTTTTCTTTCTTTCTTTAATGCACCTGGCTCACAGACTGTTTTTCCATCTTTAAAATATTAATTTATTCATTTTCTTGTCGGCCTAGTCCCTTTATTAATCCAGGGTCGCCACAGCGGAATGAACCGCCAACTTATCCAGCAAGTTTTTACGCAGCGGATGCCCATCTCTGGGAAACATCCACACACATTCACAAACACACACTCATACACTATAGACAATTTAGCCTACCCAATTCACCTTTACCACATGTCTTTGGACTGTGGGGGGAAACGGAGCACACAGAGGAAACCCACGCGAACGCAGGGAGAACATGCAAACTCCACACAGAAACGCCAACTGAGCCGAGGCTCGACCCAGCGACCTTCTTGCTATCTTTAAAATAGCTAAAGTGTATTTTTACACACTCTTAGTACATCTGCGCCATTCACTTTAGACCGGGAGTAAGCAAACATTGTCCTGAGGGGCCAGTGTCCTGCAGAGTTTAGCTCCAACCTTAATTAAACACACCTGTCTATAGCTTTCTAATGATCTGAAAGACACAGGCTGCATCCGAATTTGCATACTTCCATACTATTTAGTACTATAAAAACAGTATGCGAGCCGAGTAGTATGTCCAAATTCTTAGAATTCAAAAAATCGTATACGAGAAATACCTGTTTGACTTACTACCTCTGACGAGATTCTGAAGTGCGCATCTGATTTACGCTACACTATCCCATAATGCACCGCAGGGGAATTTGTCACGTGATCGTGACAAAATGGCCGATGTAGGACGTTCAAGTTCCATTCATACTACTCCCATTCATGCTGTATAGCATGTACTTTTCTAAAGGCCGAGTAGCAAATTCAAATGCAGTACCTACTAAGTAGTACGCGATTTCAGACGCAGCCACTGAGGATTCAGGTGTGTTTGATAAGCGTTAGAGCAAGAGTCTCCCGTAGACCGGCCCTCCAGGATCGAGTTTGCCCATGCCTGCTTTAGACCATGTGCATAGATCAATAAAATAGAGCCCTAAAAAATTCTCAATATTTCCAGAAACATGGTGTGTTGATAAGAAAGTTTCTGGTGCATACCAAGCCTCTGGCTTGCTTCTCTGGGACTGGTACAGCGCATTAGTGGAGTTGCTCTTCAGTGGATTGGACTCCAGCAGTGTCATTTGCATTGCACTGAAGTGAACTCAAATGAACAGTGACATTTATACTAAACCGAACTGAAGCAGTTGCAAATTACTAGATATAGACCAGCATAGGGGCTATGCGATGACACAGTGGGTAGCACTGTCACCTCACAGCAAGATGGTCGCTGATTTAGGCCTCGGCTGGGTCAGTTGGCATTTCTTTGTGGAGTTTGCATGTTCTCCCTGTGTTTGTGTGGGTTTTCTCCAGGGGCTTCGCTTTCCCCCACAGTCCAAAGACATGCCTTATAAGGGAACTGAGTAAGCTTAATTGTCCGTAGTGTATGTGTGTGACTGAGAGTGTATGGGTGTGTCCCAGGGATGGGTTGCAGCTGGAAGGGCATCCGCTGTGTAAAACATATGCTGGATAAGTTGGCAGTTCATTCAGCTGTGGCGACCTCAGATTAATGGGACTAAGTCGAAAAGAAAATGAATGAATGAATGAATGACACACCAGCAAACTACTCAACTTTTCTGCCTGGCTGAATTGCTGGAATGCTCCACTGTTTTACTCTCTTTTTTTATCTATGTTATGTATCCATGTCTGGACACACTCTACATTGTAAAAAAGTACTATAAAAATTCATATTTTAAATTGAAAATTCCCAAAAAAAAACGATTGAATGGGGCAGCCGTGGCCTAAGGCCTGTGTTTATACTTCTGCGTCAAGTGACCGGCGTAACTCACGGCGCGGGCAACGCGCGCAGCTGTGCATTTATACTTCTGCGCGCTGTCTCTGTTGGTCTGCATTAACACTTCCGAAACGCTAGTGGGCAGTGAGGTGTAAATGTTCCTCTGTGTCGAGTTTCTTCGCTTCTGTTTTGCTTTTCCTGAACACTTCCTGAATGTACAAGTGGCTCAAACTCGCTCATTTTGAGGCAGGAACCGGCGGACGTGCAACAACTTTAACTATGAGGTAAACACAATACAAAACTTTCCATCAGGAGCTCCTTCACGGGACTCTACACTTGTAAACAATCGCTCCATTGGGCTCGCGTCCAGCTCGTGCCATTTGCGCGGCTCTCGGTCCCGCCCAGACTCGTCAGCAATACCAAGCCGACCAATCACAGAGCTTGCGCTACGCGTCATTGCGACGTGTAGTTACAATTTTTGAGAGGTGCACGTCAGCGACGCGGACGGCCACGGCGAAGGGCTATGCGTCAGTGCCGTAGCATACGCCGGTGTTTGACGCAGAAGTGTAAATCAGCCTTAACGGTTCAAGAGATGGACTTATGACCGGAGGGTCGCAGGCCAACATGACTTTCCTTTTCACTAACTGTTGAATTCTTTTGTAAACTGTTGATTTCACTTGACAGATGCTGGAACCAAAGGCAGCAGAACAGGCTGATCTGGGTCTCTTGGGCTTCAGTCCACACAGTGTGTCCGAGCCCTGTTCCCCATCATGCCCTTCCGCATCGCCTATCCTGAGACGAACCAACTGCACCTCTCCAGCCCAGCGCCTCTCATACCCAGACCTGCCAGACGCCAACCAAACCTCTCCGACCTCTCGAGACGCCTGCAAACCTTCATACACGGACACCTCAGAGATCTGGAAGAACAGGCAGAAGGAGGTCAAAGAATCGGACCTGGAAAAAAGAGAGCAAGGTGAAGGCGAAAGCGCTTCCGAAACCATCAGCGTTGGCGCACGACCCACCTCTTCCTCGTCATCTTCATCACCTCTAGTCATTCCTAAGTTGTGCCTGGATCGCTCCTTCAACACAGATGCTTTGACCTCACCTTCGACTGATGATGATGATGACGATGAGGAGGAAGACGAGGAGGACAGTGATGAAGGCTTTCTGAAGAGGAGGAGTATGGTGGAATCGTCTCCCTGCGGCGGGCAGCAGAGCGGGGGCTTGTGTGTGCAGAGGTCTCTCCACAGGCGGACACACAGCGAGGGCAGTTTGCTGCAGGAGCCTCGGTCTCCTCGCTTCATCTCCGACCAGGCCATCGACTGCATTGAAGCCAAGCGGGAAACTCCGGAGCGCTGGGCGGTTCCTTCCCCACAGACCCTGAGGAAAGAGCTCACCAAGAACGGAGGATCCGTCCACCAGATCTGCCTGCTCTTTACTGGAAGGAGGGTGTGTATTGAGCTTATTCTGTGATGTGGAAGTGTACATTTTTGCGACTGCTCATTGGTGTAAAGTAGTGTTTCCCAACCCTGTTCCTGGAGGCACACCAACAGTACATATTTTGGATGTCTCCCTTATCTGACCCATTAACTTCAGGTTTTAGAGTCTCTTCTTATGTTCTTGAAGTTGATTCAGGTGTGTTTGATTCAAAGTATTCGCAGGGTCTTAAAAAAGTTTTAAAATGTCTTACATTTCAAAAGCGATATTTTAGGCCTTAAAAATGCTTAACTCTACTGAAATATTGTGTTGTAGGTCTTAAATGTTTTTTTTAACAGGTCTTAATTTTCCTTTGTTCATGTATAGCTACTCAATCTGGCCATTAACACGCATACAATCACCAACAATTCCAGTCTCAGTTACTTTCCTTGCAGTAAAATTTGTTTAAATTTTCTCCATTTATTTACTGCTGAAGATACTGAGCTGGTCTTGATTTATTATTATTATTATTATTATTATTATTATTATTATTATTATTATTATTTCATTTTTATTTTTTTGCCTTTATTTTAACAAAACAAAATGGAACCGAACAATGACCACAGCTTACAACCGACAAATTTCTCAACATCACAGCACATAATGAAAATCAAAATCAAAAAGAAGACATAAAAATACAGAGTAATAATAAAAATAGAAAAGTACATAAATTAACCAAGGTTTATGGTGATCTAAGGTTTTGCAAAAATGTACCTGAAAAATCCTAGGACCTACATATTCAAGGAACGGAGTCCAGATCTGATAAAAAGTGTCCCTTTTTCTGCTTGACCAGTGAGTTAAGTATTCCAATGACATAAGATCAAATATTACTTTATGCCATTCTGATACTGTTGGTGGTTTATCAGATATCCATTTGAGAAAAATACATTTACGTGCAGCATAGGTAAGAAAGTTAAACATTATTATTAATATTATTATTATTCATTCATTCATTCATTTTCTTTTCGGCTTAGTCCCTTTATTAATTCGGGGTCTTATCCAGCACGTTTTTATGCAGCAGATGCCCTTCCAGCCACAACCCATCCCTTGGAAAATTATTTATTATTATTTATTACTATTATTATTATTATTATTATTATTATTATTATTATTATTATTATTATTATTATCTTTTCCAACTGGGATATTCAAATAAAATCCTTAGCATTTAGCCCGGTACAAGTCTAAAAATTAATTTATAATGGTCTTAAAAATATCTTAAAAAGTCTTTAACTTGACACCTGCAGATACCCTGTTTATTAGGGAGAGGTTGGAAATGTGTACTGTTGGTGTGCCTTCAGCAACAGGGTTGAGAAACACTGGTGTAAAGTAACAAATTACAAAAACTCAGATCACTGTAATCAAGTAGTTTTTCTCATCGTTTTAAAAATGTGCACTTTTACTTTCTCTTGAGTACTTTTTTAGTGCTGTATCGGCACTTTTACACCACTGTTTTCCTTCAACCTGCAGCCTCCACTTTATTTTTTCTTGTCTTTGGGGATTGGTTGAGTAGAAAAATCAGTTATGTGATTTCTGCCCAATCAAATCGCACATAGAAACTAAGTTGCATCAACCTGAACAACCTCAAGGTATGGGCATTTTATAAATGCGGCCTAACATCTGGACGCATTAAGTGTCCAAGTAGAAGTTAGATATGACCCAGAGTGATTAGACTGCATGTCACTGATGAGAAGATGACAAATGTCTAATGTATAATGACAGAAATTGACCTTAAACAATCACTAAAAGCACTACAGAATGTTACGTTTTCACACAAACTGCATTTAAACACATCAGAATTTCACAGTGTGATACTCACTGCTCTTAAGTACTTTGAAAGGACTACCTTTTACTCATACTTTGAGTAATATTTACAACAGATACTGTTACTCACACTACATTTTTGGGGAAGTAATGGTACTTTTACTTGAGGACGATTTTTCAGTACTCTTTCCACCACTGCTTTCGATTTAGTCGCCTATTGGAGAAATGAATAATAAACAGCAGAAAATGTGTTCATGACTATACTTTAAACGTAGAATAATATAATATGAAATGATTATAAGCACAACAAACTCTTTTTATTGTCTAAAAATCAACTGAAGTGAACGAGACAGATGTCTTAGGCCAAAAAGATTCCAATGGCAGCACCCGCTCGTACGCAAACAAAAGGTACATTTTAGAGGTGTATCTGTATTTGTGCTGACAAATTTTACTATATTGGTCTTTCGGTTTGTTCATACACTCTGTCACTGGGGCAGTACCTTTTTAAAGGAACAGTTCACCCAAAAATGAAAATTCTGTCATCGTTTACGAAATCTTTATTTGTGTTTCTTTCTTCTGCTGAACACAATAGAAGGTATTTTGAAAATGCTGGTTGGTGGCACCCACTGACTACTATGGAGTTTTGATGGATGCCAGTAATCAGCATTCTTTAGATCAGGGGTCACCAATTTCGGTCCTGGAGGGCCGGTGTCCCTGTAGGGTTTAGCTCCAACTTGCCTCAACACACCTGCCTGGGTGTTTCAAGTATACCTTGTAAAACCTTGATTAGCTTGTTCAGGTGTGTTTGATTAGGGTTGGAGGTAAAATCTGCAGGAAACCGGCCCTCCAGGAACAAGTTTAGTGACCCCTGCTTTAGATCATAGGTCTCAAACTCTATTCCTGGAGGGCCGCAGCTCTGCACAGTTTTGCTTCAACCCTGATCAAACACAGCTGATCCAACTAATGAAGATGTTCATTCTTTTGAAGACCTCAATAATTTGGATCAGCTGTGTTTGATAGGGTTGGAGGCAAAACTGTGCAGAGCTGCGGCCCTCCAGGAATAGGGTTTGAGACCTATGCTTTAGAACAGTGTTTCTCAACCACTATAGTGTATGTGTATAACCTAATTGTTCATAAGCTTAATTTTACCTAAATCTTTACCTAATTTTTTTTCAAATATTTCCAATTAATGAATATTTTTAATTGGCTACAGAACAAACCACTGCTGTATAATGACTTGCCTAATTCACGTAACTTGTCTAGTTAACCTAATTGCCCTAGTTATCTTTAAATTGCACTTTAAGCTGAATACTAGTATCCTGCAATTTAACTTCATAGTTTCTGGATGCAGCCTTGATGATGCAAGCTGAGACTGCATATCCCAGTGATGCAATGTCAGACACAATGCACTCAATGGAGCTAGTGACATCACTGTGAGGGGTAGAGTTAGGGGTGGGGTTAGGTGAGCGCATTAAAAAGCATTTGATGCAGCTCAGATTGCTACTGCACCAGGTCTGCATCCAGACCCCTCTCAAATAACTAGTAAAAATTGACACACTGTCATAATGGCAAAATCAAAAGAAGTTAGTCATTAGTTATTAAACAAATTATGTTATAAAAGTGCACAGGAGGGCTAATATATTAGTCTCTGCTGTAATAGGAAGCATATACAGTATGATGACATTACATTTTATTATTATTATTATTTAAAATGTTTTATGTCATCGCTTAAGCCTTTCAGTTGCAGAAATAGGCAAGGCAAGGCAAGTTTATTTATATTGCACATTTCATACACAGTGGCAATTCAAAGTGCTTTTATTGCACATTTCATACACAGTGGCAATTCAAAGTGCTTTACATAAACATGAATAAAAGTTTAGGAACTGAATAAAGTTTGGGAACAAAATGCAGACAATAAAAATTATTAAAAACGGATAAAAACAAATTAAAATGAGCTAAAATAGGTTATAAAAGAATGAAAAAGAAAACGAAAAACATTATAGTGCAATCTGTCGGACGTAGCACAGTGCTCATTCAGTAAAGGCACAGCTAAACAGATGTGTTTTCAGTGTTGATTTGACTGTGCCTAATGTTGGAGCACATCTGATCATTTCTGGAAGCTGATTCCAACAGCGAGGGGCGTATAGTGGCTGAAAGCTGATTCACCCTGCTTTGATTGGACTCTTGGAGTTTCTAGTTTATTTGATCCTAGAGATCTGACGGGTCTTTTGGGTTTGTATTCAGTGAGCATATCTGTAATGTATTAAGGTCCTAGGTCATTTAGTGATTCAAAGACAAGTAATAATACTTTAAAATCTATTCTGAATGTAGCTGGGAGCCAGTGTAGAGACCTGAGGACAGGTGTAAAGTGCTCTGATTTCCTGCTTCTGGTCAGAATCCTGGCCGCAGCATTCTGGATGAGCTGCAACTGTCTTTTTGGGAAGGCCAGTGAGGAGGCCATTACAGTAATCCACCCTGCTGCTGATAAAAGCATGAACAAGTTTCTCTAAGTCTTCACTGGAAACAAAGCATCTAATTCTTGCAATATTTTAAGATGATAGTATGCTGATTTACTAACAGCTTTGACATGACTGTTGAAACTCAGATCTGACTCCAGAGTCACACCAAGATTCTTGACCTTATTTTTTGTTGTTTGACCCTTAAAGCCAAGGTACGCATTCACCTTGAGAACCTCATCTCTAATCCCAAACGCAATGACTTCAGTTTTCTCTTTGTTTAACTGAAGACAACATGCCAATAAAACAGCTTATAAACAATAGCGTAGCATTAGACCTTATTCTGTGCACAGCTCACAACTTCACTAGGGAAATGAACTCTAGAGAACAGCGTTTCCCTACATATTAATTATAGCATTTATTAGCCTATATATTCGTTCTGCAACTTTAAAATCTGGTTAAATATTCAAGGCGAGCTTTACTAAATGGGTCATATTAGCATCAGAGTGTGCTGTAATACAGCTAACTTGAATAACTCCTGTTGCATGATTGATTTAAATGCTCTCTTCCTATACATTTTTAATCTGAAAGAGAAACTCCTACATATGCATATGCTATAAGTTCAGTCTCTATGCGTTTTCATTCCTACAGTAGTCTTTCTCTGATTGTTCTGACATTGTTTTTACTGGTTTTGTGTTGGCACAAACTATGAATGAGTCTGTCTCTTCTTTTCAAATTGATGATTCACATTCAAATGTTTTTAGATTAATACTATAGTTTAACTAATAAAAATAAAATCTCTTTTTTTAAATCTTTCACAGGTTTGTGGCAAGCCGAACTGTAAATGTGACATGGGAAAAACTGCTGTCAAAAAGAAGAAGTCCAAGAATTTGTGAGTCTAACTTTCTGTGCTGTACTTTATTTGCATTTTGAAATGTCTGAGACACATATCATCTCAAAATAATGCAAAAAGAAAAATTGTTTCAAGAAAAAAATGGCACAATTACTTTTTTGCATTATTAAAACTGTTTTATTAAAATGCAATTTATGTAGTATCATTGTACTTAACTCTCTCAAAACTACAGAAATAAGTCTGACAAATATCTGTATCACTTTATTTTACAGTTCTGTGTTTATTTGTATGCTGCTTTTCTCAATAACTATTGTTTCAAAGCAGCCTTACAAAATGCATGTACAAACCATGCACTTATTATAGTAAAAACTAGGTTTTAGCCCTAACCTTAAGCTTAGTAGTTAACTATGAAAACCCTGTACTTTCTTACATAAGAAAACTGTATTTAGACATTCAAAATTAAACCAATAGCTCACCACAACATTTTAAATATCCCATAATTTATTCACCCTCAATTTTCCACCAGGCAGATAACGTAAGATTAAGATTACATTTATGTTGTGATGTCAGGTGACCAAAATTCTATGTCTAGCCAGCGTCTAAGAACAACGTTATTTAGATGTCCAATAACGATGTCAAAAGACGTTGATATTTGCTTGATTTTAAGTAGATTTTACGTTGTGTTGGAAAGTGATTAAAACGTAGAGCCAACATCTTAAACCAACGTCATACTGATGTCAAATACTGACATTCATTCAACGTCTGATAGATGTCATAATGGTAATGTCCACACAATGTCAAGC